TGTGCTTTGGTTGCCCCTACAACTGTTTGTCTGTCTGGTCTAGTAAGATTAAATTTTTCGGGGCAGGAACTCTCTTAAAAGGTATTTGTATATTGCCTCTAGGAGATACTGTAATACAAATAATAAATAATTCAACAGGGCAGCTTTGTTTTGGTAGAACTGTATTACTTACTGTGCACGGTAAGAAAAAGGTAAAGCAGAAAAAGTGATTCTGATAAACGACAGATGTTTTGTCATAATAAGAGAGAGAAATGAGGGTGCGACAAAAGGATTTTCCCCAGATTCACTGATCTGCTGTCTCCAGCAGTGACACAAGTGGCACCTGCCTCAGTCTTATTACTACTCTCTTTTGTGCTACCTGAGGCACTTAATACTAAAACAAAGGTAGAACTACTTTTTCATCTCAGGAAGAGACTTTCATACAATATGATGGTGGATCAATAATTTGTCTGGATGTGGCAGTGATGGTGTAGTAAAAAAACAACAACACAGGGCATTCAGAGACTGATTAACAGCTTAGTGAGAAAATGCTTTTTGCAATATCAAAGTTCTTGTGATAGTAAGATTGCTATATTGGAAAAACAGACTAAAAGTCCTGTAGAATGAAATGAAGCCATTGGCATGGAAAACTAAGACCCAATTACATTAATGAAAAGTATTTCCTCTTCATGTCAGAGCCCCAACTACATTTACTAGTGTCACTGATGCACAGTGTTTTAAAGTTGTAGCCCTATGTCTACACTGACCAAAAGAAGAATGTCCATGTGATGCATCAAATGTGCAAATCAAAGTGCAGACAGAGATACAAAAATAAAAAGGTATAGGAGGCTGTTTTATGCCATGCGGAAATAAACTCTATGCCTAAAAGCAGGCATGGGGAGTGGACGGATCTCATTCTTACCTTTATTAATGATTTTTAATTGAAAATTGTATGAATATGCTTGAGAAGATCAACTAAGCAAACAGAATTACATATATCCATAATAGGTGTGTATAAATTATAGCAGAAAGGAGTTTATTAATTTAGTTAAAAAACAAATAGGCTACTTCAATGTACTAAAACGGAAAATAATTAGTATAGAAATTAAAATGGTATACTTTTTTGATGTACTGTGGCCAGGGTTGGTGATCCTAACCTTAATAGTAGTAGTGGTATGGAGAAGAGCAACAAACATAATTATAGGTATGGCAGAACTTCCAGTATGATGAGATTTCAGAAGTTGGATTATCTGAACTTTGAAAGGAAAAAGATGAGAGGGATCTTGACTGAGGTAGAAGAAGCTTGAATGATGCAGCAAAAACTGCCTAGTCCTTGTTTTTAACATCTCCAATAGTATGAAAACAAACGACAGGTTATTGAACTGAAGGGCAATAAGGAAATATTTCTTGGTACTGTAAATAGTGAACTTTGAAATTCACTCTCATTCAAGTAAAATTAAAGTAATTGGGTACATCTACACAGCAATAAAAGATCCTGTGACATGGCTATATCTGGCCTGGGTCAATTGACTCAGGCTCACGGAGTTCAGGCTTGCAGGGATAAAAGGTGCAGTGTAGACATTCGGGCTTGGGCTAGAGCCTGGGTTCTGAAACCCTGCAAGTGTGGAGTGTCTCAGAACCCGGTCTTCTACCCGAGCCCAAATGTCTACCCTACAATTTTTAGCCCTGCAGCCTGAGCCCTGTGAGCCCAAGTCAATTGATCTGGGCTCTGAGACTTGGTGCTGTGGGGTTCTTATTGCAGTGTAGATGTACCTATTAAGTCAAATAGTACAGCTAGATTTACCAAAATTATAGGATAATTTCATTATCACAATCAAATTTATGACATCTGCAGCTAAGCAAGCCACATTAACACAAGGCTAATCAAATCTCATGCCACCAGGTTAAACCCAAGCATGTGAAGGGTAAAGGAATTCCCTTTTCCACTCAAATGAACATTACTAGTTGGCTAGGTGTATTATGGATTCCTCACCATACTCTGAAGGAACAAATATTTGGAACTGCTGAGAACAATGTGGGAATACATAGACAAAGTCATATGACCCAGCACAGCAAATTTCATGTTAATCCTCTTATTTTACAGCTACAGAAATACCGTTGTGACAATAGAATAGAAGTGCAACAATTCAAAGGAAACAGCCATAGAGTTTTTATAAGACTAAGTAGTCACCACAGAAATTTCTCAGAGATGGATAGTTGAAGAAAAATTCATTTTGGTTCTTTTAGAAAATTAATAGCAATTGAGAAAGTCACACCACGTGAACCAGGTTTTGTCTGCTGTGGTAAAAATATCTACTGTAGTCCTATAAAAAGGATGATTATTTTAAGTAACAGTAAACTCAGCTCAGAAATAATCTATAACTGGTTAGAATAGACACACATTTATAGAGTTTTTCGCATGGCACACTTGCCTACATGTTAATTTTCCTTTAGATACATACTATAGTTGTAACAACAAATCGAAGTATGAATTGTATCTCCTTGCTAGTTTTCCATCAGTCCTAGGAGATATCACTCAAAACTAACCAATCAATCATAACCATAAAGCTATTCAGCCTCTATTCAATATCAATGGGAAATTAAAAATAATATAATTTGTTAAACACATAAGTGATTCAGATATATCTGAGGGTAACTAGCTGAAATCTCATGATCTTGCTAAGATTCAACCTGAACAATCAGCTTCTTTCCTACTTTAAGACTGACAGGGATGCGATATGGAGCCTTTCACCTCTAGGTCACTGTAACCAAAAGTTATTATCTGAGGTCTCTTCGGTGATAGATGTGAAAGTGGTATCAGTCCACTTCCTAGCTGATGGTTTCCATGTTGCAGCTAACAACTATATTGGAGTGTCCACAGAGTAGTCAAAGACCACAAATAGGGAAAATATATATATATATTCATACTGGTGATTCCTGTTGTCTTAACCTGGAGCCCTGCTTACTCCTCTCACTGTCATTCAGTCTGGATGACCTCTAAATCAAAAACTTGGCACTTCAAGTGAAGTACAAGGTACCTGTATCATGATATTTCAACTCCATTATGAAAGGATCTGAAAGGGCTCTATCCAGTTCCTAGGGGTGGACTGCTTTTATTTACAACTATATATTTGAGTGAAAGACTGCCAGCATGCATATTAGTGTGAAGATTCCCCTACTGCTAGAGATACCTTATGGGCCTCAATTTTAGCTCGTGCAATGAAAGGGAAGGTTTCCGTGTTCAGTTCACAAAAAGGCTGTAATGGGGAGGAGTGTAGGGAGCAGCCACAAGGGGGAAGACTCCCTTTTACCTATGACATGGGGATGAGGTGGGAGGCAGAAAGGTAAGAGTGCATAACATCACTGTAAAGACGTCATGATCAGCAGTGCTGGATTAAAGAATTTTGGACCCTGTGCACTATAGAAATTGCTCCTCCCCCAAATTCACTCAAATTTGGCGTGGCTGCCCCACCGTCATGACAGAGGGGCAGCCAGGCCAAAATTAAGTGGTGCTCTAGCTCTGCTCCAGCTGCTGCCAGCTTTGCATGGCATGAACAGGGGCTGCTCAGCAAAGTGCTCCTGCCTCAAATATATCCCACCTCACACCCAGACACCTGAATGTCCCTATCATTCCACATATACCCCAACAACCCTAGGCGCCGAGTTTCTAATGTGCCGGGGGCTGCTCCCCCGGGCTCCACCCCAGGTCCTGCCCCCACTCCACCCCTTCGTCCAAGACCCCACCCCGCCTCTTCCCGCCCCATTCTGCTCCCTCCCCTGAGCACACCCGGCCCTTGCGCCTCCCCTCTTCCCCTGAGTGCCTCCTGCACACCGTGGAACAGCTGATCGTGACAGGCGGGAGATGCTGGGGGAGAGAGGAAGAGAGGGAGACGCTTGGGGAAGGGGGAGGCGCTGCTGGCAGTGGTAAGCACCCATCATTTTTTTCAGCACCCACAGAGCCAGTGCTTATGCAACAACCCTCCACCAGCCCCCACTTACCCTGACAGCCCCACACACATCCCAGTAGCCCTGACACACAACCTGTTCACCTCCACCACTCTGAACACCTCCCTCTGCAGTCCCCCAACACTACCCACATAGCCCACCACCACCAACTTGCCACCAGCACCTCATCCACCACCTCCACGACCATCCTGACAACTCATTGACACCCCCCTCCCCACCGTCTCTTAGTACTTTGTTCCCATTCCAGGTGGCTCCTCCCATTCCTAGCTCCACTTGCTCCCATAGCCCGCCCTGTACTCTCATGGGTGGGTCAAATTTGAGTGAGTGGCGTTGCCCGTTCACAACACCACTCACTGATTTTTGGCCCATCTACTCCCATATCATGAAAGAGGGACAGCCCAGCCAAACCTGAATGGTGCTGTGATCCCGCCCTCCAGGTTGCAATGCCACTTACTCAAATTTGGTCACTCCACCTCTCAGTCATGAAAACCTGGCATATTGGGTCTCAGGATGACCCACCCAAATCCAGTGGTTGGGTCCACCCCTGAGATGAGACCCTGTGCAGGTGCATTGAGTGCACATTGGTTAATCTGGGCCTGATTAGGAGGCTGCCTGAGAATCATTAGTTTAATGAAATACAGAGATCACAAAAGCAACAAACTCCTTAGAAGAGAAAATATTTAAAATGTTTAAAGTCTGAGGAGGCAAGAGGGATAATGAAAGTAACAATAGTAGTAAAATGGCTAATTTTGATACTTTGTGTTTAGTTTAATGCAATTGGTTCCCTATATCAAGTAGTCCATCTGAAACATTTTAGGCATAACCATCTGGCACTATCATTGTCAGGACACAGGACTAGACTGATCAATGATCTAACCTGGTATGACAGTTCCTATGTGATTAGGATGGTCCAATCGCCTACTCTTTGTTATAGAAAGTTAAAATGTCTCAGATAAATCTTTGACTATAATGAAAAAAGCTTCTCTGAAATATGAAACCTAAAAATGAAAGCATTACATTTAAAATAAGATGTAGCCTTCATGTAATTTACTCACCTTAGTAAAGTCCATTAAATTCCCTTTACTTTGTGCCTTAAACATAAAAAGAAAGATTAAACATAAAATGTCATCTGTTACAGATTGTTATTTTTCTAGACCTTCTGCTTCTCTGTAAGAAGAATGAAATATGTAGCGAGCTATACATTATAATTAATATTTTAAAATTAACTAACTTCCATAAGATTCTGAATTTAAAAAAATAAAATGAATATTTACTAGCTGAATGCCTCATTACAACATGGAAGGAGATTTCAATGGACACAGGCACATCTTTGGATACCTACAACGTTCAGAAGTGCTACCTAGATTAGAATACAGTTGATTCTTCAATTAAAAACATTTTAGACACAAGTAACAACTTCCTTCAAAAGCTTGCTGCTCGTATGGACTGAGAAAACCCGAGAGCCTGAATATACAGTGTACTTCTGCCCAAGAATAAAGGGATCAGAGTGAACAACAAACAAAATCAATAACAGTTTTAAAACAAAAACAAAACTAACCCCATCCAGGAACAGCTTGCATGTACACAGGGGGGAAAAGTTTAGACTCTATCATTTTAAAGAGATAATGTCAAAGACTATGTCAAAACTAGAAGACCTAAAATTAGAGCTCACAGCTGTGTTTTGGTTTGGAATCATGCATGTACACAGTGTCATCCCTTTGCTCCTTCTCTGTGCTGTACTTATAAGTAATCAGGTATCAAAATATACAAGAATGTTTTCTAATATGTTCCAGAGAGGGTCATTCTTGTATATTTTTAAATTGTTCCAATTCATAAAAACCTAAGCAGATGCAAGAGTCAAGGTGTTGGGCTCCAGTGTATTTTGTCACTGGGTCATGCAGAGACCCATATTTTGCATAACGTACACATTTTCTATATACAAAAGTTCTCCTTACCTGGGACACACCTGTTTGTTTCTTACTCAATGGCTGCTAATGCTAGACCCAGAGCATTCCTGGGCAGCCACCCCAAAGCCTTTTCCTGTGGCCAAACCCAGTTTTATCATTGTTGCCCTGACCAACTCCAGTAGTTCCCCTCCCGAGGCCTATGGAAAAAAACAGAAGATTCCTGGCCCCTTACCACCACCCCACCCACCCACCCACAAAGGCTGCAAACTCCAGTTATTAGGGAAGGCCTCTTCCCAAAAAAGGGAGGATGCAGAATGGAACCACTCCCTCACAATCTTCTGGAAATCTATTTGAGAAACGCTGACACAAACAGAGAACCAAAAAGGAGAGGTCAGGCAACTGCTGTAAGGAGAAGACGTTGCTGCCCTACAAGGGTCCAATATGGGGATGTGAGCCAGAAAGGCCGCAGAAGCTGCCTGAGACACAGTTGCATGGCCCAACACTCTACCTGGAAGGGTCATTGTGACCCGGGGTACCTGGGGTAGCTCTCACTGGAAATGCCAAGATCAGGGCAGTCTGGGTGCCACATGTTACGAAAGATTTGGATAAATTGGAGACAGTCCAGATAAAAGGTTTAGAAAACCTGAACTATGAGGAAAGGTTAAAAAAACCAGTGCAGGTTTAGTCTTGAGAAAAGAGGACTGGGGGGGGACCTGATAGTCTTCAAATATGTTAAGGGTTTTTATAAAGAGGGATGGTGGTCAATTGTTCTCCATGTCCACTGAAAGAGGACAAGTAGTAATGGACTTAATCTGTAGCAAAAGAGATTTAGATTAGATATTAGGAAAAACTTTCAAACTAGGAGGGTAGTTAAGCTCTGGAACAGGCTTCCAAGAGAGGTTGTGGAATCCACATCACTGGAGGTTTTTAAGACCAGGATTGACCTTTCAGAGATGGTCTAGGTTTACTTGGTGGGAGCTGGCTTGACGAACTTTCAAGGTCCCTTCCAGCCCTACGTTTCTATGATTCTATTAATTGAACATGTATAAAACAGTATTTGGATTTGCACTGATAACCTTTACTCATAATGAGATGTTTTTTGTGGAAGCTGCAAAACTATCATCAACTTAAGTTGCATTGATGAGCAAATACATTCTAACACATTACCTAAGAGGATGCATGGTAAATTTCCCATTTTGTATTTTGGTGTAATGGTAGCTAATTGAAACACTATTCGCTTGCCAAACAAACAAACTTTTACCACCCTATTTTCCTTCAGTTAGAATTGCTTCAGTGCTTGCATAATGTCCTTTTTTAGTTTAAAAAGAATTAATTAGTGGACAGCTAGAACTGGAATTCTGCAACCTATTCTGGATTCTGCAGATGGAAAATTGCAGTGAGAGGGTAATGGTATTATCACAGCACAGTTTATGAAAGCTTTTGAAACATATCCATCCAAATCTATTTTCATTCAATACATACAGGAGTCTTGTGTCAAGGCTGCAGAATTCCAAGACTCTTAGTCATATGCTGAATTACCATTCTCTAACTTTAAAATTACAAGGCCTCAGTTTGGTTAGAAAGAAGGTCTTTTCCTGTATGAGAGTAAGGGCTTGTCTACATTACCCACTGGATTGACAGGCAGCGATCAATCCAGTGGGGGTCGATTTATTGCATCTAGTCTAGATGTGATAAATCGACCGCTGAGCACTCTCCCGTCGACTCCAGTACTCCAACAGGGCGAGAGGCGCAGGCGGAGTCGATGAGAGAGCGTCAGCCGTCAACTTACCGCAGTGAAGACACAATGGTAAGTAGATCTAAGTACCTCGACTTCAGCTACGTTATTCACGTAGCTGAAGTTGTGTAACTTAGATGAATCCCCCCCGCCCAATGTAGACCAGGCCTAAGGTTATATTCACCTATGAGAATGTGTCTAACAAGGCTCACTACTGGGACTCCGCCTCTTTGCCCGCAGCACATGACAATAGTCTCAGAACTGTCAGTCATAAATGTAGAAGTACTCATAAGCCCCCCTCCTGGCCTCTCCCCCCACGTTTTACCTTGAAGTTGAACAGCAGAAAAGGCAACAGAAGAGCTCCCACCTCGAATGTGAATTTCTGTCCCTTTAGTTTACAGCATTATCTCTCTTTCATTTTCTAAATTACTTTTGAAGGCTAATTAGCTTAGCCATTTTAATTTGTTTCTGGTCATCACTCCATCTACAGGCACCAAAATGGCCAACATGTCTAAGAAGGATAAAATACAGAGGTAGTGCTCTTCTTGTCAGGTACAGCTACAATGTTATGGGGAAGGGGATATCTGTACCACCAGAACCCACATGCTGAAATTCACCAGCAGGGCATCCAAAACTAATACTAATAAATCTTTGCTCCACATTACCACCAAAAATCTTTCTGACAAGTGGGGCGGCTTGCACAACTAGGGTAGGAACCCTGGGAGGGTGCTTTCCAAGACTGTTTAGACATGGGGAACCCATGAAATTGATGTAGGCTCACTAGGTGGTGCCTTTTTTTGGGTGGGTCCTACCTGTTCTTGTCCTCCTTCTTGTGTCATTATTTATTTATTTAGCCTAGGAGCCCCAGTTATGGACCAGAACCCTACAGTGCCAGACACTGGACAAACACACAAGTTTGCATTACACAATCATCTTGTTCTTATCTATTAATCTTATTAGGGAATTACTAGAGGGAAAGAGGAATTTGTAGTTGAAAGCTAATCTCCATGTTTCCAGGACAGCAGTCAAAGAAACACTCAATAGCTGGGAATGGGGTTAAGCTCTATGTCCTCTGTCTTTGAGTACTCTGCTTCTGTGTTTCTTCATAGATGGCCCTATAACACTGAGCCTAGAATTTTCCAGAAACTGGGAGAAGAGGGAGGTGAATGACCAATCTAAAAATTATTGTAACACTACAAATTCACTTTAAACTGAATTTATAATTTACCTCTCTAATCTGCTTAATCCAGGCCTCCCTTCCAAGGAACTCCTGATGCAGGACTACAGGAGCAGAATTTAAACTAAAAGCCACAGAGTCACTAGATTTTCCTTTAATGAATGGCTGGAGGTCCGAGTGTAGCTGCAAGAGAGGATGAAAACATTTTTGTTAAATAAAAAAAGATTGGTACAACTTAGTTTTTAGGGACTGAAATGATTATCTCTAGGTAAATAAAAACTAATTTGAAGAGTAGAAAACCCAGAATGGTGTGAATAACTCCACTGCAAACTAAATTCACATGACTTCAGGGAAGTAGCACTGCCAGATTAACAAACCAAAAACTTCATATATCAAAAAACTCTTAACATTTAAATTACTATACTTTACCATATGTCAGACAATGGTGGCCTTAGACTTTTGATATCTATGCAGCCACTTGTGATCCTGCTCCTTCAGGAGGAGCCCAGCCCTACATATACACATTCAACCATCAGCCAGAGACCCATCTCCAATTCCACGTCCCTTGCTCTATTCCTGAACTGTCCTCCTCTGCTTTGATAGCTGTACTTTGGCTCCACCCTCCTAGCTCCATATTGGGGGAGTGATGGGGGTTGTTTACCAGAGGCTTCAAAAAAGCGAGAACAGCTGAGAAGGGGTATGAAGTCGGCAGGTGGGTAGTAAGGTGAGGTAGTGGGAGAAAGAGAGTTGTTAGTATGTGGTGGTGAGAGTGACCCAGTCATTGATGGGAAGGACTCTGTTCTTTACAATTGGGAGTGGTATAAGAATATTTTCCATTTACCAGGACCTGTGGGAGTTACTTGATGCAATATGAATACATTTCTGATACACTGAACATTTTATAAACAGTAGTTTTCTGTGACAAGCATATGGCTCTTTATACATATTGCCAAATTGGATAATTACAAGTGAATTCATTTAGAGTAGCCACTAAACTCAGATCCAAAAAAAGAAGAACAGGAGTACTTGTGGCACCTTAGAGACTAACAAATTTATTAGAGCATAAGCTTTCGTGGACTACAGCCCACTTCTTCGGATGCATATGAATACAGAAGTGGGCTGTAGTCCACGAAAGCTTATGCTCTAATAAATTTGTTAGTCTCTAAGGTGCCACAAGTACTCCTGTTCTTTTTGCGGATACAGACTAACACGGCTGCTACTCTGAAATCAGATCCAAAAGAGGCTCAAAAGAAGAATATTAAAGAGGTTCTCATCTACCCTTTCAGTAGAAGACTGAACAGAGAGAAAAGGCATACCTTATGACTCAGAGACATGTTCTTTCCATACTGAAATGCCATATCCTGGATCTCAGCATCATGCTTTGCTAATTCCATTGCAGCCTGGCAGCTCTTTGCCAACAAGGCACTATGGGATAGGAAAATCTGTTCTTTCCAAGTTGATATTCCAATATCATGTGTAAGACAGTTTTCCTGAAAATGAAATGAAGGCTAAAATGAAAAAGCTGAAACTATGACAATATCAGACATAGGAAATTAAAAACACAGCTATGCCACCTAGGAAACTACCACCTACTGTAAATTCCAAGGCTGTGAACTTTAATGCGTCATGCAAAACAGCCACTTACCCAAAGAGTATTCCTGCATGAAGTGATGGGAAAAGTGAAAACATTACAGTGTGTTTTAATTGCTGAATTGTAGAGCTGCTGCTCCCCCCAAAAAACTAAAGCGGGTAGAGCTTTCAATTATCTTTATAATCGGTTTGCCTCGGAATTTTCATGTCACTACAATATGAACATTGGCAGCCAATTACATTCTTACTGACTTGCTGGTTAAAAAGTGTCCTTTGCAACAGACCACTCACTGGTACCTCTCACCAGCAACAAGAAAGAAAAGAACTGACCATTTAAATATTGAGTGGCATTTCTAAGCAACATGTCAAGACATTATATGATTACATTAAATGCTACACTACAGCCTCTTCCTATAAATGCTAATATACATATAGGATTTTAATGAAGAAAAAAAAGACCAAAGGCCTGTAAAGAATGTTTTGGTGATGTGTCTTTTTTGCTTTTCTATTCTAAAATAAGCAAGTCTTGATTTTTTTTTTTACATTAGAAATATCAGGAATGTCAAGTTTCAATTTCTCTGGCGGACTCTGGTAGCTCTCACAGATGTTCATTGTGAGCTACAATGCCTAAACTGTAGGATCAAGGATGCTAAACCCTTAACAGTCTCTTTTTATCCAAAATGTTAATTGAATTTATATTTTAACAAAAACAAAAGAAAATATAATCAGTTTTAACAATTTGACTAAAACACTTTTCCCCAGTCAATTGTTCAACTTAACTCCCTTGGCTCTTGTGATGTCATCATTTCACTAATCAGCGTCTTCAAAGCTAGATGGAACCTGACATTCTAATTTTTATATATACATATATAAATGTCAAGCCTTCTTTATTAATTGTAAAAAAGATCTCAAAGTCCAGTTTTTGTGACCCTTTTGCAGGTCCCCTTTAAAAAGGCAAAGGAAACATAGGTTATAAATGTACATATGTAGAAAAATGGTTTCAAAATTTAAATATTAAGCATCATATTTAATTTCCCAATACACTGAAATTTACAGCAGTGACTGAGCCAAAAGGTAAAATTTTACAAAGTGAGAAAAGAAACATCTAACAAGACCCCCTCCCCTACAGTTACTTCAATTAAATTGCTTAGAAATGATTAAGAACTAAATCTGTGTGACCTCATAATTTTCTACTGGGTATTATCTGTCATGAATTTTGTAACAAATGAAATAAAATCCCTCTATTCAGCTCCAATCTTCCTCCCTTATGAATACTGCCAAGGAGTGCTGAATTACTGGATAGAAAATAATACGAGACTGATGGGAAAATTAGCAGAATTCTGTTTTGCCAAATAACCAAATACTGTATCAAAATTCCATTGCCTTCAGACACACCCCTGCCCTCTTATAGGGAGGGGAAAGAATAGAAAATGACACTTTTGCTACTATGTATGTGATAACAATTTACAAAGTCAAGATTAATCTTTAGGTAGGTCCCATTTTACTATGATATTTGCTTTGTAACATCTTAGTTCAGCCCAGAACATATGCAAGTTTCCATGATTGGTAGAATGACAAAAATGATAAATAAGAACTGGTACCAGAAATAAATGTTTGATCATTTTCTCACTCAGACATAGGTTAATTTAAAAAAATCTGGAGACAGGGGAGGGATAGCTCAGTGGTTTGAGCATTGGCCTGCTAAACCAGGGTTATGAGTTCAATCCTTGAGGGGGCCATTTAGGGAACTGGGGTAAAAATCTGTCTGGGGATTGGCCCTGCTTTGAGCAGGGGTTTGGATTAGATGATCTCCTGAGGTCCCTTCCAATGCTGGTATTGTGGGAAGTGACTCAATTTTTTTTTTACTCAGGACCAACCAGCTAAGATAAAAATGTGTGCTTATTAAAGCTTATTGGATGAAGATTAGGACAACCAACTAGCAGTGATTTTGCAATTTATTTGTTTTAAGCAGCATGAAAAGAGAAGTAAACTAGGAAGTTTAACAAAAACAATAATTTATGAAGTTATAAAGTCCTTAAAATGCTAGCTGTACCAAGCCTCTGAAACATTCACACACCAAATACAGATTGTGACATCACTATGAACTGCAGCTACTGAAGAGATCCTGCTAACCTTACTCATTGCAAGTAATTCTACAACATTTTCCAAAAGTGCCATCTTTTAGACAAAAATGTAGAAATACTAAGTATTTTTGTGACCTTCATTTAAAGTCTTGAAAATATTTGAGAAAAGTGGAAACTTATTCTGAATTTCTACAATTTTATCTAAAAAATACTTTATTTTGGCTATTAATGTGGGCAAGATTTCACCAGATGAGCTAATTTCTGCTCTTTCTGTAAATCCAGTGCAACTCCAATGAAACCAGTGGATTTATTTATACATTTATAATGACAACACCAAATCTGTCCCTAATAAAAAGTGATTTTGGATACTGATATTTTAAAGATGCTGATTTTTTTAAATGTACAAATTTTCACTTTTTGTCCTTAAATGTGGAATTGTGAAAAAGTTGTTAGAACGATCTGGGCAAAATGTTAACATTTAAAAGCTTACAAATATTACATTGCTTCTACTACAGGTACTTTGAAAAAATGTTCACTACTTTGCTGTTTACTTAATATTTTTTAAAACAACAAAATACGACACAGCTTTTGTGTATATTTAAAATCTTCAAACATCCAAAATACATATTTTAATTTTCTATGCTGAAAAAATATGCTCAAAGGTAATGTATTGCACTCTCTTAACATGGATATTGAGAATCCCCTGCATACATAAAAAAGCATGTTCAATCTAATAGGAGTTGTCTGAAAAAATATCAGTATAAAAATTTGGGAGCCAATCTATAATACAGTCCAGTCAGAGAAAGTCTTGACACCCTTCTTCCAGTAGCACTCTATGGTAAAAATACTTAAACCAAATACCATGAAGGCAGTCATCTCCTCTCAGTGAAATTTTTGTAAATTGCATTGCAACAACTGGATTAGGAAAAAAACATTGTTTCCCAAACAAAACACCTACAGCTGTGGTTCAGTTCAACAACATTATCTCCTGATAAAGCTTGTCATGTGTCAATTTGGCCATGTTTATACTAGCAAGCTTACTGCACCGCTGTAAGATAGCTCATGTAGCCGTGCTATGCTCTCCTGTCAATATAATAAAACCACCTAAATGAGCGGCAGTAGCTATGCTGGTGGGAGAGCATCTCCAAATCATTTGAACACATCAAGGAGAAAAACTTTAATTAGCTACAGACTGCAAACTACATGAAAACTGAAGTTACATCTGTGCAGGTGAAATGGGTGGGCTTTCTCCCTTTATGTTTTGAAGCTTCCATATCAGTAAGATGAAGGGGTCACTGGATGGCTCAAAGGATTGATAACAGAATTTGGAACCTTCCACCTTTACATCGCTTTAGTTCATGACCAGACATTTAGTATCTGATGACTGGTTAGTGGCATATATGAAATAAGGAGGTGGTTTTAGTTGTACTCATTCATAGGAGACGTGATGCGTCAAAATCACAAAAGAAACCATCACAACTGCCACCACTGCTGGCTGTGTCGGAGGAGCCAAAAACGGAATGAACAGCGACTGAATTAACCTCTCATCCATGGAGGCAGACCCTCCAGGATATAGTTAAGGCACACTGGGGAAGCCAGTACTGGAAGACATTGGTCTCCAGGCCTGTCAATCAGCACTTTTCTAAGCATTAAATTCAATTGAAACCATACACATGAAAGTCTAGCAATTCGTTTATTTTTATTATTAGATCTATCTTGTGTACAATATTCATATTCTCTTTGTACCTTAATGACTTGACAGTTTAAAGTACAAAGAAACAACATTGCCACTTCTCACACTATGCAACCTAACAACTGATGCTTTAAAAGTTTATTTTGAAATATTGATTCAATATTTCAACTGATGCTCCCATTTCACCAACCTCAAGATCAGTAAAGATATTTTCATTTTATACAAATATTTATTGTTTTGATTTTAGTAAGAAATTGGCTTGCTGGGAGGTAAATACATTCAATTCTCAGACAGTGCTTACACTGTAAAAATACTCTTTCTAGGCAATGGAAAATAGAAAGAGCTTCTAGAGAATCGTCACATGTTTTACACCAAGATTTTTACCACTTATACCTATCACATTTATGGTAGCAAATACTAAATTAATTGTATGTACTTAATACAAAGTAGCACTTAAATTTTCCCCCCCTCTCACCAAACCACCTTAAAGTAGCTCAAACTGATTTCTGTGTCTCCCAGAGAAGAGCTAGATGGTATTTATATAAATACGTGTCATGATTCATTTGTAAGCATTTTCAGCACTGCATACAAATGTTACAAAACACATACCTTATTGGAGTGCTCCAAAATGCATAGCAAGAACTGGCAGGACTCAAAGTCACACCTTCTGGATGAAAAATTCAGAATACATTTTATAACTAATGTTTTTTATTTTGATACACAGCAGCACTTGGTTTGTCACCTAATCTTGCACAATGTGAGACCGTCTAATCCATTTACAACTCAAAACTTTGGTCTAATCCTCATTAGAATAAAAATGCATAGATAAATCAAGCATATTTTAATTTTGATTCAATCTCAGCATTTGAGTTTTAAATTGGATGGTTCAACAACTTCTATTCTACACAGAAGGATAAAAATAAGTCAATAAAATTATGGATCTCTAATGGGAGCAACACATTTATCCTACAAAACGTTTTCATTTGACTGATGGAAGCTTTAACAGATGTCTTCCTGCTTGTTGGACATGACAGGGCATGTTTTATTGGTCTATTAATGCATGCCTTCAGTGCTTTGTGAGGAACAAGGGTGAGCGCAAATGGGCCAATAAAACACATGCTGG